TTTTATGACAGTTTTAAGTGACAAGTTCTTCCAGGTGATATATAGTTATAGATGATCCAGCCGTAATAGGAAGAAACCCCCTGAAAAAAAACCCATTGAAAACCTCTGTCCCAATCAAAATAAAAGGAAAAGTTTCAATCATAAAAGGAAAATTATCCGATCAAATAAGGAAAATTCCCATTCAAAAAAGAAAAATCGTTATTTTTTCAATTTTTATTATTCCTTCTTATTTTATTTCCAACTTTTTACGATTTATTTATTATTTTTCTTACTATATCTTTTCTCAATTTCTATTTTTCTTCTCATTTTTGATATTCTTCTGTCTTTTAAAACTAATTTATAATTTTTTCCTGTTATTTTTCTTCACTACTCTACTCCATTTTTTTTAACAATTCAATATTTTAACTTTTTATGATTTTTTTCCCTTATATAGTAATCGTTTACATACATTTCTAACCATTTCAATCTCTTTCATTTCATTTTTAATCTTAATTTTTCTGATCTTTTCTCAATTTTTTTCTTCTCATTTTTGATAAATCTTTTTAGGAATTATTTTAATTTTCACTTAATATTTTAGTATAACCTAGCAATAATTTATATTGATAAATAAATTTATGGGTGTCCATGACATTATATTATATTGATGAATAATTTTATAAGCGAATATCACAATCATTGACAGCTAATAAGATGTATTATCTTATTGTTTATCATTAAGGGTTTAAATTTATATTTAATCAACAGAATTAAAATTGTTTATCAGAATTGAAAACGCTATAACTCCTGATATTTAGACAATTGAAAGTTAAAAATTTTATTAAAAAGTATAATTGCTTCAGCAAGTATCTAAACGAACAGCTATTAAGATGTATTATCTTATTGTTTATAATTAAGGGTTTAAATTTATATTTAATCAACAGAATTAAAATTGTTTATCAGAATTGAAAACGCTATAACTCCTGATATTTAGACAATTGAAAGTTAAAAATTTTATTAAAAAGTATAATTGCTTCAGCAAGTATCTAAACGAACAGCTATTAAGATGTATTATCTTATTGTTTATAATTAAGGGTTTAAATTTATATTTAATCAACAGAATTAAAATTGTTTATCAGAATTGAAAACGCTATAACTCCTGATATTTAGACAATTGAAAGTTAAAAATTTTATTAAAAAGTATAATTGCTTCAGCAAGTATCTAAACGAACAGCTATTAAGATGTATTATCTTATTGTTTATAATTAAGGGTTTAAATTTATATTTAATCAACAGAATTAAAATTGTTTATCAGAATTGAAAACGCTATAACTCCTGATATTTAGACAATTGAAAGTTAAAAATTTTATTAAAAAGTATAATTGCTTCAGCAAGTATCTAAACGAACAGATATTAAGATGTATTATCTTATTGTTTATAATTAAGGGTTTAAATTTATATTTAATCAACAGAATTAAAATTGTTTATCAGAATTGAAAACGCTATAATTCCTGATATTTAGACAATTGAAAGTTAAAAATTTTATTAAAAAGTATAATTGTTTCAGCAAGTATCTAAACGAACAGCTTTTAAGATGTATTATCTTATTGTTTATAATTAAGGGTTTAAATTTATATTTAATCAACAGAATTAAAATTGTCTATCAGTTCAAATAACGCTATTATTCCTGGTATTTATAAAATTAAATATTTAATAATTTGTATTTTCTTTATACGGTATATAAAGACAAAAAATTTTTTTTTAAATATATTTTAATTTGATAATATACAAATATAATATTTAAGTCATAAAATTTATATTTTATAAAATAATTTATGTATCTAATTTATCCTGGAAAAGTTGTATTTGAAGGTTACTCATATACGATCCATAAAAAATGCCTCAACAAGGTAAGATGGCGCTGCTCAAAGTATTCATCTTTTAACTGCCGAGTAATATTATCATTAACACTAGAAAATCAAGACCCGATACTTGAAACTGCTCATAATCAACCATTAAATATTGATGGAAGTTGAGATCATCGTTTTTTAATGTGATTGGGAATAAAAACCTAATAATCTGGATATTGATTAAAAAAAATGAAATTCTAGGTGGATAGTGATGAAACCAAACTTGAACTATGGCGTGTAGATAGTTGGACACCGAAAAGAAAATCTACTCAAATTCGGCTAAAGAAACTTTGCGAGGAATACTGTGATGGGATGTGAAGCCTTCCAGATTTTATCAAAGCGATTTCCTTCAATATTCGATGTCAACCCATATAATTATAATTTTAAAATATTAAATTAGTATATACATAATAATGATTTCCCAATAAAATAAACATATTTTATCGCAAAATTTTGTCAAATTTAGTCAACTTAATATAGTAATTAACAGAGTTGTTGTATCTAGATCCTGTATCCAGATACAAGTATCTAGATCCAAGTATCTAGATCCTGTTTCCAGATATAAAAATGTGGTATCTGTATCTGTATCTAGATAAATTTTTGGTTAAAATATCTGTATCTAGATATTATTTTAGACGATGTATCTGTATCTAGATCCATTTAAAAAGTATCTTTTAATAACTCTGGTAATTAAGGATGGATAATGTATTTATTACTATAGCAAATCGAGATTTTTTTCTAGTGGTTTTTCACTGGGGGTATTATTTCCTGGGTGGTATTTTTCCGGGGGTTTTTTCTGGGAATCAGGTGCCTCGGGTGTTTTTCATATTTCTTAAATTTTAATTTTTATAAATTTCTACCTTAGATAATTTGCTAATTTATTTTTTATAGCACATAAATTTTTTATGGACAATCCCGGTTAATGATGCTTACTACCAAGTGAATGTATGGCAATATTTTAAATACCAATCTAATTTGCTAAATACCGACCAAAATTTATTAAAATGTAATAAGACCCTTATTATTTAATATATTAATACGGAATCACGTGGTCGAGTCCGGCCTTCTATATATCATCCCCCCAAGGATGGAACCACCAAGTTAGAATAAGAAAAAAAACATGATCATTCCCGGGATTCGAACCCGGAAGCATAGGATAAGTAAGCCAAGCTCTTGCCTACTAGGCCATAGAGGCTTTTCAAAAATCACGATTTTTCAAATATATATTATAAATATATTTGGTAGTGCCTATCCAAATGAAAAATGAACAAAATTCAAATTTGATAGATGGTACCTTAAGGTACCAAGCATCATTAACCGACAATCCCGGACCTCTTACAAAATAAAATATTTTATTTATTACAATATATTTATTTTTTTATTTAGATCCTATAATATCAGGTGTTTCGTTCTAGCGCATTTAAAATTACGTTAATAATTTCTGAGATACAAATGAAAGTATCTCCCTCAATCAAATAACAAACAATATTATCGAATATATCTCTAGAAGTTTTACAAACTAAGACAAATTATTATAAAGATATGGAATTTAAAAGATTACGTTATATTAAATTCTTAATTTTCATGTAATCAAATCAGTGTTGTTAAAAGATACTTTTTAAATATATCTAGATACAGATACCACATTTTTATATCTAGATACAGGATTTAGAAACTTGTATCTAGAAACTTGTATCTAGATTCTTTAACAACTTTGCAAAACTGTATATATACTTTATTAATATATTTTGTAAAAATACTGATTTATCTATCATCGAATAAGGGAGAAAAGTATGAACCCGTTTTCTTGAAGGGCAAAATGAAAAATATATAACTAAGAGTACCAGAGCTCCCGTTAGTCAGCATTGCTGATTCCGTCAAAAATGACGGGGAATAAGAATTTTCTCCTTACTCTTATAATTTGTTACCTGTTATTTGAAAATAATATCCAATTTTTATTCTTTATAACCCCCTCCCACCTTCAGATCAAGTCCAATCCATTAAAACTAAGTTTAAATGCCATCTTTTGAGACAAAATATATTTAAAGCTTTTCCTCGATACCGATATCGATATTATTTGTTAAAATATTACTGATCATCTATGCCTATTATTTAATATTGGAAAAATTCCCAAGCAAAGGTCCAAGGCCATAATAATTTTGAAAAAATTTCTCCAACCCCAATTAAAGATCATAATAATTTTGGTAGTTGAGAACTGGAATAAAATATTTTAAAAAATCATAATGAATTTAAAAATAGAATCAAAATTCAGATTTTATGGGCTTTGGTTTATTTGTTATGTCTGATCCATAGTTAATAATAAAAAAAATTCTCAAGCGTCCAAGCTGATAATAATTTGAAAAATTTTCCCCAAGCGTAGCCCAATATAATTTATAAAAATATTTTCCAAGCCCAGCCCGACCCATTATAATTTTAAAAAATTTTTCTTAGGAATAGCATAAAACATATAAAACTATATTAATAAAAATAGAATGAAATATCATACAAAGCGAGAAGAAAATGAGAAGTCAAAAGAGTCTAGGATAGCTCTTTGGGAAGTAAACTAATATAATAGTTTTAAAAATTTTTAAAAAAATTAAAAAATTGACTAAACTGAGAATTCACATCATAACTCCAAAAATAATGATGGAAACTTAAAAATTTTTTTCATTTTATGTTTATATAAGTTAGTTTACACTAAATGAGTCAAAAAAATAAAATATTTTTAAAACAAAAATTTAAAAAAAAATTAAAAAATTGACTAAACTGAGAATTCACATTATAACTCCAAAAATAATGATGGGATCTTAAAAATTTTTTCATTTTATGTTTATATAAGTTGATACCAAATCAATTAATCCAGAGCGAATAATTAGGCTCCTATAATTCATATTATTTTTTATTAAAAACTAAAATTTTAATAATTTACGCTACTAGCGTAATTTTATTTATGATATATAAAATATATTATGGGTGTTATATTTTCTATATAATAGATCTGTTCTATACATATTATTATGGACTACAATATCTTCTATTATTTAATTTATATATTTAATTAATTTTAATTTTGTATAGATTTGATTTTTACTTTAAAAACATTTTGTTTATATATTTAAATATAATTGATAGGCAATAAAATAAAAATAAATTTTACCTGTCAATTCTCAGTTTAATGTCGATAACCCATGCATAAACAAAAAATTGAATTTTTAAATGGCCAAGGAAAAGTTAATTATCAATTTTTGATTAATTTACATTTATATTATAGAATGACCTTAGTTCTGCTTAGTAGCCTTGCTGGAACTGGACACAAATATTATTTGTTTAGGCCTAAACAAACCGAAAAATTACAAAAAATTCTTTTTGATCCTTATGGTTAAATTTATACATTAAATAGTTTTATTATTGAATTGCATATAATGCTTTGGCATTTTAATGCCCCATTATCTTATCCCTCGGTACCTAAATAATAACATTCAAAATTATATTTATTTTGTAAACCCCATTGGATCTTCAATTGAAGTAAATTATAAAAAATCCCTTCAACACTCAAATTCTCATACTTCACATCAAACCTAAAAAAATAATGATAAATGGTTAAAAAATAGCTACATGTTCATTCATCTTAGATTAATAGAATATTAAAAAGCTTGTCCAAATTTTTTTTAATTTTTAAAATAAATTATTTTTATTAAATTTAATATTTTTCAGATATTAGTCCCTTTTTGACTAGGTTAGTGTTGTTATTACCTCTATTGATTTAAAAAATTATATTTTGACCTAAATCCTATGGCTTAGATAAGATAGGCATAATTAAATCAAAGTGCTAGGTCTAATCCATTCAAAATTTATTCTTTCAGTTAAATAATTAAGTAGGATTAACTGAATGGTGGCTACTAGAATATTTAATTCAGAGTAAACCTCATATTGATCATCATTTTTGGTAGAATGGTATTTTCATTCAAACTTTGTGTTGTTTAGGAATAGAACTTGTAGAGAAATTGGTTTTCATTTTAATTAAATCTAAATACCAAAATTAAGAATATAGACTTCTTTATGATTTTTGAAACTGATTGTCTTTTACTCTATAGAATATAAAAAAATTGAGAATAAAAGTTTTTCACTGATATCAATTATTAATTTTTTTTTTTTTATTTAACTGGTACTTGTTTTTATAATGTTATTCATTAACGATTGTACCTCAAAATATTCAACTATTTACTTAGCGATGATTTATGTTATAATAGATCTAATGTTCATGCATGCAGTACTTTCAGTTACATCAAAGACTTTCACTAGTCTGGATTTTTTGATCAGACCTGCCCCAGGCCTCCAATAAAAAAATTTATGAACCCAAGCTTGCCTTATATTTATATTTAAAATCCCAAGCCATAATAAGTTTCAAAAAATTTGCCCAATCCCATAAGATCTAGTGTTGTTAAACAGCTGAATTTGAGTCGATTTTTAAATACGCAAACCCTAAAGATTCATAGGATTGAACATCTGTTGGCAAAATCTTGACTCTTAGGCAATATTCTCCTGGCTCTAATGTTGAGTTAGCCTATTTTAAAAATTGGCTCAAATCAAGCCGTATAACAACACCACTAAGACCATCTCCAAAAATTTAATCGATATATTCTTCAATGAAAATAAACAATGATTTTTAGCATTTAATTTATTAGAAAAAAAAATTTCAGTATCCAAACCAGAGACCTGTGGAGGTACCATTTGTATGGCCCGGCCCAGATTAAAAAATTTTTGGCCTCTGATTTTTCTTTCAAAAATTTTTTACGGCCCTAGCCCGGATTCAAAAATTTTAGGACCGGCCTGGATTTAAAAAAAAAATTTTTAGGCCCGGCTCGGAATTTTTTTAAAATTATATTCGACCTGGTATACACAAAAAATTGATTATCTCGTATTTTAATCATATTTTTCGACGAGTATTATCATTTAATAAGCAAGTATATTAGCTAATGTTGTAAAACGGCAATATTTTCGCCAGAAACATATTGACTAAGCCTGGAAATTTCGATACTATATGTCTAGACCTTTGCTCCTTCTATGAGCAAAATTTTCAGGCTTGCATAATATTTTTCTGGATAAAGAACTGAGTTAGCCGTTTTAAAAAAATATTGAGTTAACCGGTTTTTAAAAATATCGAGTTAACCGGTTTTTAAAAATATCGAGTTAACCGGTTTTTAAAAATATCGAGTTAGCCGGTTTTTAAAAATCGGCTCAAAACGAGCCATTTAACAACACTGTAACATATTTTATTTTTTTAAAATCTAAACAGATATTTAGTATATTACAAAATTGATACTACAAAAAATATGTGTAAATAATATTTTGAGAATATACTATGTATTTATAAAAAAAAATGATATTTTGATTAATAAAAAATATAACATATATTATATATTTTATATGTATGTATTTAATCCTTGGTTAATTGATGCTTACTATGAACGATTATTTTTTTCAAAATCCATCTTTTGGAAAAATTATAAATTTTTAAATAAAAATGATACAATTTTAATAAATTACTAGAAAGAATTGTTAGGCTTCCTGGAATCTAAAGATTAAGAATTTTTTTTGGGAAATTAAATTGATTGCATAAAATATATTTTTTTTAAAATCATTAAAAAGCAATATTTATTTACTAAAATAATTCTTTTATTTTTTAAAATGTAATCATAATTTAAAACCAAGCCTCTACGAGAAACTTTTATTTATATGGACAGTTATAAAATATGAATAACAACACATACACCAATTTAAGAAATCAAAAGCTAATGAGAATAAGTAGGCTAGGGCAGTGAAATTCTTTAATAGGCATAATTTACGTACGAGATCTTGAATTAAACTTGCTTATAACTCTTAATGGGATTATTATTTAATATTTTTTTGTGTATACTATAATATATATTTTTACATATTTAGTTCAATCCAACGTTTTATACCGAGAAACAAAAAAGATTAAATCCAAAACCTTTGAGAAGAAAAACTGAACCCGTTATTTAATCAATTAAAATATGCCTAAATTTGGTCAATTAGTCATGGGTCCCGCCGGCAGTGGAAAAACAACTTACTGCAAATCTATATCAAATCACTGCAGAATTTCACGAATTGATCATCGCCATATAAAATTAGTTAATTTAGATCCTGGATTAGTGGATTTTGTCGACCTAAATAATACTGATCCTAGCACACAAAGACACGAAGAAAATTTGACTTATGACATTGATATTAGAGATTTAATATCCGTACACGATGTGATGGAAGAATATTCCGATAACATAGCACCTGACCAGACAGATCTCGATAAATATCCATCGTCCAATGAGCATGCCGATATTATTGGTCCTAATGGTGCATTGGTATATTGTATGGAATATTTAGCGAAAGACAATTTTTTATGGCTCGAAGAAAAATTTTTGGAAAATTTGATCGACGGAGATTATGTTTTGTTTGACTGCCCAGGTCAAATTGAATTATATACGCATATACCGGTCATTAAACGTTTAGTAGATTTTTTGATAGACCGTGCAGATTTTAGGATATGTGGCGTGTTTTTAGTAGATTCTGTTCATTTCTTGGTAGACATTAACAAATATTTTTCGGTTACGTTAACTTCTTTATCCGTAATGATCAATATGGAACGTATATCATTCGTGAATATTTTTTCTAAAATGGATTTAATGACATCGAAATGTACGACCAAAATATTGCCACTAAATAATGAAAAAATGATGGACGGTTCAAATGATGACAGTGACACAGATGATGAATGTTTTACGAATCAAGATGTTATTACACAACTGTCAGAGCCTTCAATCGAGCTGCACGATCATTTTAGCGATTCATCGCCAATCACCTTACCACCCAAATACTTAAAATTAACTAGGGTTTTGGCTTCAGTGATCAATAGTTATGACCTCATAAAGTTTCACCCGTTAAATATAAATAAAAAAAATTCTATCGAAAATATCATGTATCATATCGACCTTTCACTGCAGTATGACGAGGAACGCGAACCAAAAGAGATCATTTTTACCGGAGCGGAATCCGAAATTAACGATGACAAATCATATGATCGTTTAGACGAGGAGAATCAATTTTCTCACCAAGAAAATGAAATGTTTTACGGAATTGATTAATAATTATTCATTCGTATATTATTTTTTTATTTTGGAGGCAATTGGAATTAAATGTAAATGATATTTGTATCGTAAATTTTGTCCATAGATTTCAGGGAAAGAAAGTTCTTTCTTTCTTTCTTTCTTTCTTTCTTTCTTTCTTTCTTTCTTTCTTTCTTTCTTTCTTTCTTTCTTTCTTTCCTTCTTTCTTACCGATATTAATATCGTAATAGGATTATCTCCGATTTCGATCTTTGATAGAAAAGATCCGATTTAACACTAGGTGTAGATATGTAACTTCTAATAGAAAAGCAAATTGTAACTCAAAAATAATAAAGATCATATACAGGGCTTCCATTCGAAAAAAGATAAAAAGTGTCAATTATAAAAGAAAAGTCCGATCAAAAAAAAGGTCCCCATAGGCTTAGGAAAATGTTGATCATAAAAGGAAAAGTCCCAAGTTTCGATTTAAAAAAAAAAGTGATCATTAATAATTCATAAAATAAAGTCTCCACTCTATTTTTTTAACACTACCATTAATTCCACTTTTCTCATCAATGTCACCTCTGATCCATTCAACTGTCGGATCTTTAGCTCTTCTTTTCTAATCACTTCATCCGGTCAATTACTCAGATACTTATCATACCCCATCACCGAGATGGCCACTCCAGCAACATATACCTTTAATTCCACTTTTCCCATCAATGCCACCTCTGATCCATTCAACTGTCAGATCTTTAGCTCTTCTCTTCTAATCACTTCATCCGGTCAAATACTCAGACACTTATCATACCCCATCACCGAGATGGCCACTCAGTAACATGTAACATTTCGCACTTTTATCCTATTTTTTAACTGTAGATTACAGTCCATTCATTAAGACAAACATACTTATACTTCCCTTGGATGATTAACCAGTATAAATCATTAACGATAAATTTGCAGTTAAGAAATTATATGCTTCAAACCATTATCACATTTCAACATTCTCATTCCAAATGGAATATATTAATAATGCTGTTCTCAAACATCAAAATGATTCATTGCTAGTGCCTTTAAAGTAAGAATGTTACCTTTTTTGAGAAAAAAAAACGCGATTCAATAATCGCTTTTAAAAGGAAGGACTCTTTTTTTAGAGGTAACGGAAAACTTACTTTAAATTTTTTTCTAAATTTTGATCGATAGCTAATTGTAAAAATTCTTAATCGATATTCGATAGAGTTATTGTTAAAATATGGGAAAAGGGGGCTTTTGTTTTACTTCGTTCCTAAAATTTGACTTCTTTTTTTAAATAGTCGGATGCAATCCATACATTTTGGATAACATACGTTGTGAAGTAGGAGATATACTCCCTTGGATGATTAACCCACATAAATCTTTAAAAAATTAACTATAAAATTTGCATATCTGTCGCAAAAAAATTGCATGCGGCAACATTTCTTTCAACATCCATATTTCACAAGGAATATATCATTAATTCATTAATAGTAAGGTCGATGAAAGGATCGGATTTACCCTTTTTGAGGAAAAAAATGGCACTAGTTTTAAAAGGTAACGCGTTTCTTTTTTTTTTTTGAGTAAGGTGACGCAAAACATTTTAAATTTTTTCTTAAAATATATGGGAAAAAAAGTATATGGAATTTTGGATTTTACGAATAATGTAAAGCAAGTTTTTAATTCTCAGTCAGCAAAGTTCTTTACCTGGTAAATTCATCCCGTATCAGGTCAATTCAGTGAAACTTTTATCGCGAATGTCGTTTATCGCGAAAAGATTTTATAGCGAAGGTAAAATCGCGAAACCAATTCTGCTAATTTATCTCCGCGAAACATTTATAGCGAGAAAACAATTTTCCGAATAGGGCGAATACATTTTAGCGATAAATTTTACGCGAACACTTTACAGCGAATTTTTTATCGCGAGTGCATTACCGCGAAACAATAAATATATTGAGAATGCATTTATTTTAAGGAAAACAACATGTTATTTATTATTTGATGTTTTTTAATAAAAAATGATATGCTACTATTGTAATATTATTTTTGTTACAATTTATTAGTGATTTTCACGCCCAAGATTTTAAGTAAAAAATATTTCTTGAAGAAAAAGATTTTTGAACATATTTTGATAAAAATTTTAAATCTTCTTTGTAAATGTATTTTTTTTGAGGAATTCTTTTGTGAAATTTATTATAAATATACAATTTAAGTGAAATCTTTTATAGTTTTTTATCATTTTTGTAAAATTATCTATTTCTTAATAATATTAAAAGAGGTGGGTTTTTTTAATAATTTTTTTTTAAATATTTATATTCAACTTATTTATGTTATTTTTGATCTTTTTAAGGAAAATAATTTAATGTGACAATTGTCATATTCGTTATTTTTAAGATTTTTGAAATTTTGATTCAAAAAGGTGAAAATATCATTTATATTGTAAAAATATTAAATTTAAATTCAATGAAGATGTTCCTTGAAAACATAATCGGTATTTTTAAACATGATTTTTTTAACGTTAATGGGCAAAAAATATGTATTTTTATTAAATTATAATTTCAATTAAGATGTACCATATAAAAGCGACAATTGTCATAATCTTTATTTTTAAAGTTTTTTTACAATTGTTACATTTTAAAATAAAATTTCAGTGAAGATGTACTATAGATATAAGTTACAATTGTCACAATCGTTGTTTATAAAGTTTTTTGAATTTTTTTGTTGCAAATGGGTAAAAATATAGATTGTAAACATGTTAAATTAAAATTTCATGAAGATGTACCATTGAAAATGACAATTGTCAAAATCGTTATTTTTAAAGTTTTTGAATTTTTTTGACCAAAATGGGTAATAAGTATTGCTAGCATGTTTAAATAAAACTTCAGTGAAGATGTAACCTAGATAAGTGAGAATTATCATAATCATTATTTTTAAACTTTTTTTGACGTAAATGGGCCAAAATAAGTATTGATAACATATTTAAATAAAACTTCAGTGAAGATGTACCCTAGCTAAGTGACAATTGTCAAAATCGTTATTTTTAAAATTTTTTGTATTTTTATAACGCAAGTGGGTAAAAATATAGATTGTAAACATGTTAAATTAGAATTTCATGAAAATGTACCATAAAAAAATGACAATTGTCATAATCGTTATTTTATAACTTTTTTTAATTTTTTTGACGTAAATGTGCTAAAATAAGTATTGCTAACATGTTAAAATAAAATTTCAGTGAAAATGTTCCCTAGATAAGTGACAGTTGTCAAAATCATTATTTTTAAAGTTTTTTGATTTTTTTTTGACGCAAATGGGTAAAAATATAGATTGTAAACATGTTAAATTAAAATTTCATGAAGATATACCATAAAAAAGTTACAATTGTCATAATCGTTATTTTATAACTTTTTAAATTTTTTAGACGCAAATAAGCAAAAATATAAATTGCTTACATGTTAAAATAAAATTTCAGTGAAGATGTACCATAATAAGTTACAATTGCCATAATCGTTGTTAATAAAGTTTTTTTCAATTTTTTTGTTGCAAATGGGTGAAAATCATGAAGATATACCATTGAAAAGTGACAATTGTTATAATCGTTGTTTTTAAAGTTCTTTGATGTAAATAGGTTAAAATATAGATTGTAATCCATTTTAACCATAGGTTTATAAAAATAAAATCTTAACATTAAATTTATAGGATGTTGATTGTATCATATTACTAAATAATATTCATATGGTTTTTAAGTTCTTTCTATAAAAATCGTACCCTTTTACCGAGCTTGATACGATTCCCAATTCAGTTACAGCATGTTTGTATTTTTAAATTATATATACATCTCCTTTATAACTTAAACATTTAATTAGTGTTGTTATAAACGGCTCAATATTTTAGCTAGAAGAACGTTAGGGCAAATCCTGAAGATTTTGATCATAGATGGCACAAAAGTTTGGACATCTATTAGCGAATCTCGAAACTTGTGCTGGCTAATATATTGAGTTAGCATTTTTAAAAATGGAGTCGTTTTAACAACACTACATTTAATAAAAAATAACAAAATGAAATTGAAAAAATATATATATATATAACTATATAATAACCAATGTCAATCAAATAATGTTTTAAATGTAGATTATATTTAGTAAATTATAAATGAAATTATATATAATATATTATGACAATTATAAATATTACATGATATGCATGTAAGACATCGGTCGATCACTATAAATTAGTGAGAGAAAAGTGATAATCGAGAAATCAACTTTGTTTAAATTTTGTTATATTAAGTTTCTTCTGGTAAATTGAGCAATATTTTTACTGTGAGTTAAATATGGTGTTTCAATAAACTGAAGGAACGAAAAATGATGATACATGTTCATTGGATAAAGTATTGAATGAGTTGAATAAAGATTCCGTTTCGTAAGATAATTCCTTGGATAAAGTAATGGATTTGGAAAGTAGCTTAAAAGGTAAATTTTAAATGAAATTAAAAAGTGGTTTAAAAAAAATTAAATGCCAATATTAGTGATCATCCAGAAATGTTCTAGAAAAATCCGTTGTTATCCTAAAAGATTTAATAGATTTGATTAAATTTATCAACACATTTACAAATTATATTACATCGCATTACATATTTCATTAAAAATGTTAATATCAAAGACCAAAATTATATCCCATGACTAAAATTTTTAAAAACAAAGGAAAAATTCATAAAAAACAATAATATTCTCCTCGAAAAATATATCGAAAAACGTCCCTAAATGTCAATTATAAATCGACAGATACAACAGTTATATCCAAGGATGTATATAAATTTGTCTGGTAGAGAATGTCATAACAAAAAAAATTGTACTTCGAGGGACAAAAAATTTAAGTACCAATTTTAATTTTAAAAAAAATAATGCTGATAATATTATTCGTAACCGATGTTATGTTTATAAAGGACATAAAGCTGAAACTTGGTATCGTAGAATGAGAAATTTTTGTTAGTTTTTCCTTTTAAGAGAGTCCATATTAGTAGATTAACAGCTGTAAAAAGGATTTCCGGTTTATTTTTTCCGCCCAATAAATTTAAATTATTAGTAATCGGATGATTA